CTCCAGTCCCCCCCCCCCTGCACTCCTGAGTTCCCCACCACCCCCAGGAAGCCTCTCCCAGCATCTCTGGTTCCTCCTGCCAACCCCCACTGGCTTGGATCCGCTGATTCCCACCCTACCCTCTCAGCCTCCCACACACACTCTGGCTCATCCCACTTGACCATAAACTCCTCGAGGGCAGGAACTAAATAAGCTCCCACTTGGTCCCTTTACCCCTCTTCATTTTGGGATGGAGAGATCTGTCATCTGTCCCCTGGGAGTGGCAGATGGCCGCTTAGCTTAGAAAGGAAAATAGTACAATTTAGAATTAGTCCTGGGTGAAAGGTTGAAGCAACATCTGCCTCCGGATGCTTTGTGGAGTCGCATTTCTATGGAGAGGCTGGCGGAGAAGCTCCCTCTGCCCCGCCCATAGCAGAGATACTGAAGTGAGGACAAAGCCAGAGGGATGGGGGCTGTGGGGGGGAGCGGCAGGCATGGGACCCAATTGCGGGAGTCCCTGGTCCAGCCCCCGCTCACCTGCCACCAGCCAGGACTGGACAGGTGCCCAGGTGGCCTAAGGAGAGGGAGCTTGTAAAGTATACCCCTGCCGTGGGCTGAGTCCTCACGGGGAGATCCTGAATGGGCAATGGTGGACAGGGCAGTTCTCATCGAGGTGGAGGCTTATACCCCTACCTTGGAAGAAGGCCCGTTTTTAGTCCTGGAAGGGTCTTCCCACTGCCCTTGGCAGGTGGTAATGCAGGGTCAGCAGGGGTTGTGTTGCTCTGTGAAGCCCTGGCCTGTGGGGCCAGGCAACCATTGGGCGCGACCTCCTTAGCCAGGCCCTAGTGCCTGTCCCTGTTGCTGTCGCCCACATGCCAAGACCGGTGTTGAGGAGGCTATCCGAGGTGCAGCCTCAAGGTCCCTCCTTCCTTCCCAGGGATGTCTAGGTGCTGGGTAGAGAGAAGGTGACAGGTGGCTGTCCCTAGGTACTTCAGCTGTGTCCAGGTCAGCGAGAGCCGCCCAGAGCTGGGCCTCCTTGCCCACACCCCTACCCCCGGCTTGGAGCCTCCTCCCATTCGGGCTCCGCTTCTCCTACAGATGGTGCCTCCTCTAGAAGCACCTCCAGGGGTCCCTCATGGCCCTCCGTGTCCTATGGCTGTGGGGATAGTGGCCCTGTGACAGGCCCTCAGGCAGCATGCCTTTACTGTGGTGTTCCAGAGCCCAGGGTGAGGGTGTGGAGGATAATACATCCTCTCAGCCAGGCATTCCCGTATGGGAAGTGCTGGGACTTCTGCCCCGCCTGTCAGGAGCAGCTGCCACAGTGGCCAGCACCTGCTCCAGTGCCTGCTCCAGTGCCCTTTGCTCCAGCTGCCGCCGCCTGAGTGCTGGGTGTGTTTTCCCTCTTACACAGGACTGCCTCCTTAGCTGGGATGTGTCTTCAGTTGATTCTGCCATGGGCCTCTCACTGGGGAGAGGAGTGGGCTGTGTGTCTGAGCAGGCCCTTCTGATCCACTTGGGGCCCTTCTGATCACCTAGGACAGACACTGGAGCAGGGGACTGCTGCGGGGCTAGGGCCTTCAGGGTGTCCCCTCCAGGACCATGTGAGGGGTCCCTCAGTGCCATGGGGTGGGCCCATCTTGCCCACCCAGGCATCTCTGCACCTCTTGGGGGCTTGGTCTGCTGGCGTCAGGGGCACCCAGAGTGTGCCTGAGGCACGGATGGCCACTGCAGACCTGGCTTTGATCGAGCATCTTCTTTCTGTCCTGCACCCACACAACTGCTGACTTCGTCAGTGGCTGGGAAAGCAAAAAGGGCCTTTTCTCCAAGTGGAGCCGTGGCCAACCTCTGCCTCACAATAGGGCATTGATTGGGTGGGCAGGGCACTGTTTTTGTGGCCATGGCCCAACCCAGCCCACTGGGTTCCGCGGAGTCCCAGTGGTGGCTCAGGCTGCAGAGACCCGGCCAGCCTGGAACTGGATCCACCTGTGGTTGGGGCCAGCTCTGCCTTCCCCAGACTCTGAGTATGGCCTTGCAGGAGCCATGGTGCCCAGAGAGGCTGGACGGTGTGGATATGGAAGCTCCAAGAGCTACTGGCTATGTGGGAGGCTTTCCTCCAGGACTGTGCCTGCCCTGAGAGAAACCAGCTGTCCCCACCCCCTCCTTCCTGGGCCAGAGCCACAGCTAATGCCTGAGTTAACTTCCAGACCCCCTCTGGGGTATGATTTGTTTTCTTTAAGCCAATTGGTTTGGGACTTTTGGCTTCTGGCAACAGATGGTCAGCTGAGTGGCCATTTTGTGTCCTCCCTACCCAAGCCGTGGTCACAGATAAAAGCCTTCAGGGAAGACAGATGCCTGCCTGGCCTCTGGGAAGGGGGAACAGGCCCCAGACTGCCTCCCTGGACCCTGTAGGGCAGGGCTGCCCTATCACACATAGGTTTGGTTTTAGCTGCCAAAATGGGAATAAGCTGGCAGGCAAGACAGGAGGAAGTGGGGGCCACGCAGGATGGTGTGGCTGGGGGGTCTGGCCTCAGGTACTGGTCCTGGGGCAGCAGAAGACAGGGAAATCTGGAGAGTCCCTCTTGGTCAGCCAGTGCCTGGGCTGTGGGGGTGGGGTGGCCTGGTACATTCCACCTCGGTGGCTTCACCACTGGGAAGAGCAAGGCCTGCCTGGTCCCAGACTCTCCCTGGGATGGGAGGTGATAGGAGTGGGCAATTTATGGCCACAATAGGTGGTCCAGGTGGCTTATGGGGGCAGGGGTAGTAGACACGGCACCTGGACCAGGCAGGGCAGGAGGCCTTTCCTGGCTGATCAGACTCTGTGTGAGCCTGGGCTGTGTTCCTGCTGGCTGTGACAGGTGCTGATGCCTGGAGGGACTGCCTGGTGGAGTGGTAGGAAGACTTTATACCAAAGGGGGAAGCCTTTGTCCAGGCTGAGTGTGGGCAGGGAAGGACGCTCACCTGTCCCAGGCAGTCCCTGGGTGTAAAACACCAAGAGAGCCATGGGATGGGGGCTGGTCACACTTCCCACACTGCTGTGTACTGAGAGGTTGGAGGTTGACGAAGCAATGAACCCTGCTGCTACCCAGTGGGTATTCACTGTAGGGCAGCTGGAAAAAGACACAGACCAGCCTCAAAGCAAGAGGCTTTGCACACAGCTCTGACTGCTTGACCCTATCTCTGGCCTCCCACCTGGTCTCCCAGCTAACCATCATTCTCCTCTTTTTTTTTTTTTTTCTTTGAGACAGTCTCGTTTTGTCGCCCCCTCGGTAGAGTGCTGTGGCATCACAGTTCACAGCAACCTCCAGCTCTAGGGCTTAGGTGATTCTCTTGCCTTAGCCTCCCGAATAGCTGAGACCATAGGTGCCCACCACAACGTCCAGCTGTTTTTTGTTGCTGTTTGGTAAGGGCCGGGTTCAAGCCTGCCATCCTGCTGATTTTTGTTTTTCATAAAATTGTCTGTCTGTTCTCACAGAGTATATGGGGCTGGCACCCTACCCACTGAACCATAGGCACCGCCCCATCATTCTCCTTTTATTGAGGTGAAATTTACTTAACACAAAGTTAACCAGTTTCTGTCTAGCTGATGAGGCTCTGTCACCCTTAGAGAAGTCCCTGCCTGCAAAGCAGTCATCAGGCCTTGACTTGGAAGCCTGCACTGCTATGCTCACTGCTCAGGGCTTACGGGCAGCTGTGGCTGGGTGTGGTTGGGAGAGCATAGGAACTGACCGCCTTGGCATGTCTGCCAACAGCTGCAACGGGGCCTTTGTGGGCCTGCGATGCCAGGACCCCAGCCCATGCCTCAGCTCCCCCTGCAAGAATGCCGGGACCTGCCATGTGGTGGACCGCAGAGGCGTGGCAGACTACACCTGCAGCTGCCTCCTGGGCTTCTCCGGGCCGCTCTGCCTGACACCCCTGAACAATGCCTGCCTCACCAACCCCTGCCGCAACGGGGGCACCTGTGACCTGGTCACGCTCACAGAGTACAAGTGTCGCTGCCCCCCGGGCTGGTCAGGTGAGGGTCTGTGGTGGCCAGGTTAGGCTTTCCCTGAGGACCATTGGGGGACCCTCAGCCCAAGGGGTGGGAATAGCCAGGTTGCACCATCTGTTATGTGAGCCCATGTCTGCACTGAGGGGATGGGGTTTGTGATCCTGACAAAGCCCAGGCCTCACCTGGCAGGGCCCAGGGCCTCAAACCCTTAACAGCACCAGGCCCTGTGAGAGAGGGTACTCAGTGTCCAGCTGTGCCCTGTCCCATCATCAAAGTCTGAAGAGCATGGGCTCTGGGAGGAGACATGCAGGGCTTGACCTGAAGACGACCAGTTTATGTCTGTGTGGCCATGGGTGATCACTTGGCCTCTTGGGACCTCTGGCCCCTCATCTGCAGAAGTATGACCATGTCGTGCATCGGGTTCTAAGGATCTTTGGCTGGTCCTTCTGAGGTACCCAGGCTGCCCCTGGCCTCTGAAAAGGCCCTGGCTATGGGGACCAGGAGGCCACCATGACCCTTTTACCCCCTTGTCCCTCAGGGAAGTCGTGCCAGCAGGCTGACCCATGCGCCTCTAATCCCTGTGCCAATGGTGGCCAGTGCCTGCCCTTCGAGGCCTCGTACATTTGCCATTGCCCCGCCACCTTCCACGGCCCCACCTGCAGGCAAGATGTCAACGAGTGCAGCCAGAACCCCGGGCTCTGCCGCCACGGGGGCACCTGCCACAACGAGGTCGGCTCCTACCGCTGTGCCTGCCGCGCCACGCACACTGGCCCCAACTGCGAGCTACCCTACGTGCCCTGCAGCCCCTCACCTTGCCAGAATGGGGGCACCTGCCGCCCCACAGGGGATGTCACCCACGAGTGTGCCTGCCTGCCAGGTAGGGCTGCTTGCCATACCCACTTGCCACGTAGACACACACAGGCATGTGTGTGCCCCCCACTGCCACTGCCAGGCCCAAGGTGGGGAGTGGGGTTCCTGGTGGGAGCCCAGAGAGGACCCGTGTAGAGGAGCGGGATGGGGCAGCCAGCAGGTTCCACAGAATAGGGGTAATAGGGGGAGCCTGGGGGCCCTGTAGGAGGAAGCTGCACAGGGTGTAGGTGCCAGGCCAGGAGCCACCCACCAGCCACCCTGACACCTACCACAGCACTGCCCACCTTAGGCCCCTACTGACCCACTTCTGCCCAGGGGTGGGGTCTGCCATGATCTGAGTAGCTAGGCCGTGACCCCCAGCATACCTTCCCTCTGCCGCCTCTCTGTGAAAGAGTGCCCATCCCAGACCCCTGCCCTGCCCCTGGGTTACCTTGCTCTGCTCTCAGCCTCCTGGGGCAGCAGAGGGAGCCTGTGGAAGAGCCCCCCTCATCCCTGCAGTCCCTTGACACCGTGTGCCAGTCTCAGGATCTCCCTGGCTTGCACAACTCAGCTTCCCTTTGCCTTCTGGGGGAGCTGAGTCTCTTGGGGTGTGGGTCTCAGTGGTGGCTGTCTGTAGGGCCTCCCTGTCTCCCCTGGGAGGGCTAGTGTAGGCAGGGCAGCCCCATGCTCCAGTGATCCCTGCCCCTTCCCTCTTCTGTGTACACATCTTTCTGCTATGGCTCTTATTTTAGTCAATTTTGCTGCAGCTCTTAAAAATAATGAGGTTTGAGAGCCCCCAGGCTGTCAGCTGTATACCTGGTGGGTTGGCAGGAATGGGTAGGCATTCAGGCAGGGGTGGGTGTTGGGTGCTGGGGGGCACACAGGACCTGGATGGCTCAGGGTGACCCTTAGGCTACCCCACTCCCTCTGCTGCCCCAGAGCTTCCCAGCCCTTACAAAGGGGAAGTGTGATCCCTGCCCTGTCTGCCAAGCTAGCCCGACCACCTCTGTGTATAGACACTAGTCACATGCATTAGTCACTGCATGAACTTGGGGTGGGGACAAGTGGCTCCTCTCTCCACCCTCCCCTGGCACTCCTGGTGGCTTGGCCCTTGGGAGGGTGGGAAGGCAGAGCCCTTGTGTGTGGCAGGCTTTTGGGCTCTGGGTTCAGACACCTTTCTGGTAGCCATGTGACCCAATGTTCGGTCACACAGGGTGAGGGTTCAAGCTTTTGTAGGCCGGGGCAGGTGGGTCTGAGCAACATGGGTGGAATTGGCCCAACGCACCTTGGGCAGTTCAGGCAGGGGAGGATCTGCCCTTGGGCTATAGGGGCTGGAATGCTTTGGGCCCTGGACCCTCTCAGAGCCATCACTTGGACGGGGGACAGCTCAGGGTGCTTGGGGCAGGATGAGGAAAGGCCAGTGGAGTCCACTTCCCCACAAGTGGGCCAGTCTCTGAGGCCAGGATGGCAAAGGCTCTGGCCACTTCTGGGTGGGAGAAATGAGAGAGGTGATCACCCAGGGCACCTGACCAAACTCCTCGGCTGGGGACCACCCAGACCTGACGTCAGATTCTCCTAGGCAGTCCCTGTACCCAGGTCTCTGGAGGGACCCTCAGCTCCCCTTGGAAGAGTCAGGGACTCCCTGGGGTATGTGCCTGAAAAGTCACAGGGATCCAAAGTTGGAACAGAGCCCTGGACTCTGTGGGATGCTGGGCGCTCTGGGAGTTTGCTGGGAAGGGGCCTGTTTGGCTGGGCCAGGGCTAGGGCCGCAGCCATGCAGCAGAGGGGCCAGCCAGGAGGGGCCCTTATTCTCCTCCCTCTGGAGGTGCCCTGCAGCATGCTCAGGGTGGCCTTAGCCTGCAGGCCCAGCCCAGCACCCTCTCCGAGGCACAGGGTCTGCCACACCATAAGCAGGGATGGGAACTGGGCTCCGGGCTTCAACTTGGGGCGTGCCCCCAAACCTCTGTGCAGTCTGCACTGTCCTGTTCCTGCTGTGGTCTCTGTCCCATTGGGGCCGGTAAGCTGGGGGTTCTCCAAGGGCAGGAGAGGCTCACAGGCATCCCGGGCGGCATTAATTAGTAACTGGCTGCAGGTTTGGCTGTTGCCAGACGCGCCTTTCTGGGTTGATCATTGAACCAGTGGGAGTTGAATGGATTAATAGCTAACTGGCCGTGTAGAGGCCTTACTGTGGGAGCCACGCCTCAGGGGCCAGCCCTGGGCTTAGGGGAGGAGGCATCCTCAGCCTCTGGCAGAGATGAGTCCTGAAGCGCTGTCCCTGGGAGGCTGAGGGCTATGGTTCGGCACCCTGGGGCCATGGGGAGGGCCCCCCCCCGCCCCCCCCAAGACCTTCCTCCATCCCACATCTCCCAATTCCTGACCCAAGCTCCAGTGTCAGCACCTCTGAGAGTGGGTATCTGAGCTGGTACTCATCCACATCTTCTGTGCAGTACTGACCCCTGAGGTGGTGCTGCTGAGAGCCCCAGTTTATGGGCAGCATCTACTCACAGGAGCCTCTGAGAGTCAGAGCAACAGAGCCTTTCTGGACCGTGTGTTCCTGAGTCCCTGTCTGCTCTGCTAGCTCTTTATAAAACTATTATTCAGAGTGTGCATGTCCTGTGGGCACCGGAATGTGTCCTGGTCACAAGAGTATGTCAGGGTGACAGGCACAGGCCCCAGGAAGTCATCCCAGAGCGGGGCTGTGAAGGGCAAGCTTGTGTGTCCAGAGCAGGGGTCTGGGGTCCAGTGAGGGCCAGACCCAGTGTGGCTTGGATGAACTCAGCTCTGAGAACAGAGGCTGATCTCCTGGCTCCTGCCACAGGCTTCACAGGCCAGAACTGCGAAGAAAATATTGACGACTGTCCAGGAAACAACTGCAAGAATGGGGGCGCCTGTGTGGATGGCGTGAACACCTACAACTGCCGATGCCCGCCAGAGTGGACAGGCACGTACCTGGCAGCAGCCAGGGAGCACCCCCACTGACTAAGCTGCACACACACAGAGTTGGGTGTGAGACCCCATCTCAGGTCAGGGTGCCAGGCTGACTGAGGATGACATGCTGGGTCGCCCGCGGCCAGGGTCTAAGGCCCCTTGCCTGGGGGTCAGCTGAGCTGTTGCAACCTGACCCCAGGCAGCCCCTATGCCCAGCACACCAGTCCCCACTTTGAGCCAGCCTGAAGTCTTCCCCACACCATTCAGCCCGAGGCTATTGAGCTGAGACTAGGGATAATTGGCCAGACAGACAAAGGGTAGGCCCTGCCATCACGGGGCTCACTGTCTGGGGGTGATGAGGAGTGAAGGTGTGCCCTACACAGCTGTGTCCACAGCAAGAGACAGAGTAGAGCCCCTGGTACTGGGTGTGCAGAGGAAGGAGTGTTTTGGGCTATTAGTGGATAAGGAGTCAGCCCAGGGGGCTTCCTGGAGAGGGTGGCATTGCTTGGGGAACAAGGGGGTTGGGGTGTGGCAGCTGCCTGGGGTTGATGGTTCCATTTTCCCCATAGGTCAGTACTGCACAGAAGATGTGGACGAGTGCCAGCTCATGCCCAACGCCTGTCAGAATGGCGGGACCTGCCACAACACTCATGGCAGCTACAACTGCGTGTGCGTCAACGGCTGGACCGGGGAGGACTGCAGCGAGAACATCGACGACTGTGCCAGTGCCGCCTGCTTCCATGGCGCCACCTGCCATGACCGCGTGGCCTCCTTCTACTGCGAGTGTCCCCACGGCCGCACAGGTGACTGGCCCAGGGGCCCGGTGCGGGGGGGGGGTCAGGCTGACCCGCATTACCTTGCTCAGACACAGGCTGCAGGCTCTTTGGCTCCCCAAGGATGACCCCAGAGGGCCTTTCTGGACTAAGGAGTGGCCGGGACACCTGCCTTCAGGGCTAGGGGTGGTAAATCTGATGGGACACTCGGTGGGGTCCTGAGGGAGGCTCCTCCTAGGGTTTGGGCTGGGGTAGGCCCGCAGCTGAGGGTGGCTCACCAGGCCCAGGAGGGCAGTGCCCGCTGAGCACTGCACTCTGTCCAGGCCTGCTATGCCACCTCAACGATGCTTGCATCAGCAATCCCTGTAACGAGGGCTCCAACTGTGACACCAACCCTGTCAACGGCAAGGCCATCTGTACCTGCCCCTCGGGGTACACAGGCCCAGCCTGCAGCCAGGATGTGGATGAGTGCTCACTGGGTAAGAGCAGATGTGGGGATGTAGCAGGGTGGGGGGCAGAGGTGAGCATAGCCTTATGGAGATGGTGCCCAGCCTTATGTGTGGTGAGCGTGACCCTGCCCTACAGGACCCCAGTCTGGGGGAGGCAGTGCCCTTAGGGACTTACAGAGGCTGGGGACCTGGAGCCGCCCTCACCCATGCTCCCCACTAGGTGCCAACCCCTGTGAGCACGCGGGCAAGTGCCTCAACACACTGGGGTCTTTCGAGTGCCAGTGTCTGCAGGGCTACACGGGCCCCCGCTGTGAGATCGATGTCAACGAGTGCGTGTCCAACCCCTGCCAGAATGACGCCACCTGCTTGGACCAGATCGGGGAGTTCCAGTGCATCTGCATGCCAGGTACGTGCCCCCCTCCCGCAGGCACTGCCGGGGAGCAAGGTTGGGGACCAAGTCTAGGTCGGGCAACCGCCACACCTGCTGAGGCCATGGCTTCCTGTGGTATCTGGGGAAACTGAGGCTGGGCCCAGCAGAGCATGGGGCCAGAGCTGGGCAGGTGTACCAGCCAAAGGTGCTAGGCTGGGGCTGCAGGGCCCAGGTATGGGTGGCCCCGTGGGCTATCCTGGGGCCTGAGGCTGTCCTCGCTCCTCACTGCCCACCCCCACAGGCTACGAGGGTGTGCACTGTGAGGTCAACACAGACGAGTGTGCCAGCAGCCCTTGCCTGCACGGTGGCCGCTGCCTGGACAAGATCAACGAGTTCCAGTGCGCATGTCCTACAGGTGGGCTCCACTCTCCTGCAGGTCCTGGGCTGGTAGTGGGATGGCACAGCCTGGAGAGTGAGGATTTCACCTTGTGAACAGGTGGGGTGTTTTCAGGCTCCCCTAAAGGCAGGCCAGGCTGGCAGGGTGAGGTCAGCCCAGGTGCAGGAGCCCTCCTGGGTGAGGAGTGCTGGGGACCCACAGTGTGTCCCCAGCCCCAATAGGGCCTGGGGGGGGCCTCAAAGTAGAAAGGGGCTGCCGGCCCTGCCCTTCCTACCCACACTCTGTGGCACCGTGGGGGGAGGTCTGTGGGAAGGCCCTTCTGTGAGCTGAGGGGAGCAGCCCCCGAGCATTGCCCCAGAAGGGGCTTAGTCAGAGATACAGGAGCAGAGTGAGGTGAGACTTGGAGTCGGCCAGGGTGCACTGGAGCCCAAACCAGGCCCCCGATTCAGGTCTGGTGGGGTCACTGAGGGACTGCAGTGCTGCTACATGTGACTACCCTTCCCCCACTGCAGGTTTCACTGGGCACCTGTGTCAGTATGATGTGGACGAGTGTGCGAGCACGCCCTGTAGGAATGGGGCCAAGTGCCTAGACGGGCCCAACGCTTACGTCTGCGTGTGTGCTGAAGGTGCGGACTGGAGTGGTAGGAGCACGGTGGGGGCTCTCAGGGCTCAGCAGTGGCAGGAAGGTGGCAGGAGCCTGGGTCCTTGACCATCTAATCTAGCGGCTGAGAACATGGTGCAGTTCTGACCCTGAGCAGAGGTAGGGAAGCCTCGCAATAAGAGACACATAGTGCCCATGTGGGGAGGCTCATGTGACCCTGGTCTGCATGGAGAGTTGTGAGGCTAGGTGGGCCCTGAGACCCCTGTGTCTGCCTCTGCACGCTCCAGGATACACAGGGACTCACTGCGAAGTGGACATAGATGAGTGTGACCCTGACCCCTGTCACTATGGCTCATGCAAGGACGGTGTCGCCACCTTCACCTGCCTCTGCCGGCCGGGCTACACAGGCCACCACTGTGAGACCAATGTCAACGAGTGCTATAGCCAGCCCTGCCGCCATGGCGGCACCTGCCAGGACCGAGACAACTCCTACCTCTGTTTCTGCCTCAAGGGGACCACAGGTGGCTGGTCAGGCTGGCGGCTGGTGGGTGGGCAGGGTAGGGCTGGGAGCTGACCCCCATCACTACCCCTTCCAGGACCCAACTGTGAGATCAACCTGGATGACTGTGCTAGCAGCCCCTGCGAGGCAGGCACCTGTGTGGACAAGATCGACGGCTATGAGTGTGTCTGCGAGCCAGGCTACACAGGTGTGCGGCCCCCAGGGGAGGGACTGGTGAGGCTGTGGTCCAAGTTCAAGGTCACTGATTGTCGCAAGGCTCTAAAGGGCCCAGCCATCGGGCTGGCCACCTAGGCCGTCTGTGGTCTACTGAAGACTGTGGCAAGGCAGGGGCCCTGGCCAGCACCGGGATGGACCCCCATGCTCCTCTTGTCCCTGGTCAGAGCTGATCTGGACCCTGTTGGGCACAGTGGCCTGACAGGTCATGAGGCTGGGCTCCAGTGTGCCTCTTGCCTCTGTTGCTCACCTTTGTCCCCTCTAGGCTTCAGATTTTTCCCAGCCCGCAATAGCAGCAGCCCTGGGGGCCCCTGGGAGGGCACCATCAGTGAGTGTGTATCAGCATGGGGTCTAGTTGACACCACGGTCCTGAGGCACGTGGGTCACATAGATGGCAGTTTATGACGTCTCAGAAGGACCTGGGTGGGAGGGTTTAACAGATGGGGAAACTGAGGCTCAGGCGAGTTAGAAGCTGCCCACCCTTGAGCCCTGGCACTCTCAGGGTCTGGCCCTGGGCACTGCCCCTAAGCATCCCCTACTGCTTGCAGGGAGCGTGTGCAACATCGACATTGACGAGTGTGCAGGCAGCCCCTGCCACAACGGGGGCACCTGTGAGGACGGTGTCAATGGCTTTACCTGCCGCTGCCCCGATGGCTACCATGACCCCACGTGCCTGTCCGAGGTCAACGAGTGTAACAGCAACCCCTGTATCCACGGGACCTGCCGGGACAGCCTCAATGGGTAACGGGAGGGCAGCTCCCACAGGTCCACTGCTTGGTGCTGAGAGAGCATCTGGGGAGCCACCTGGCAAGGGCTTAGGACAGGCCTCTGGGCCCTCCAGCAGCCGAGATTGCATGTCCCCGTGTTCTACACTGTCAGCTATGACACAGGCCTTGCGTGGTCCCTGTAGCATACATTTGTGTAGTCATAAAAGCAAGTTTGACACCTGTGATGTGCCTAGCTGTTCTCTGCCTGGATGGGCTGTTTAAACCAGCAGGGACCTCCTTGCCCTCATTTTGCAGAGGGTTAGTGCTCTGTCCAGGGCCTTGAAGTGAGTGGCAGTGGAGGCCTCTGGCTCTGGACCCTGCATTGCTAATGCCCCACTTGCCCTACATTGGGCACTGTCTCAGTCATGTGGAACTGAACTCTTGCCACAGTCTTGGGCAAGGCCAGCACTATTTCTCCACTTCTGAGGCCCCTGAAGGTGCAAGTGGACAGGCACCTCCATCAGACCATGGGACAGTGCAGAGCCTTCAGTGCCCAGGCCATGCTGCTCAGGCCACACCTGACCTGCAGCATGGTCTCCCTTCCAGGTACAAGTGTGACTGTGACCCTGGGTGGAGTGGAGCAAACTGTGATGTCAACAACAATGAGTGTGAGTCGAATCCTTGTGTTAATGGTGGCACCTGCAAAGACATGACCAGCGGCTACGTGTGCACATGCCGAGAAGGCTTCAGTGGTGAGTGGGCTCCGGGATGTGTCTCCCTGCAGGGTGAGCCCACCGAGGGGTGGCAAGGTCCGGCCCCTTGAGTCAGGAGAGCTCAAGGCCCAGGGACAGGACATGGATCCAGCTGACACAATCATGGCATCCCCTTCCTATGATAGGCCCTGCTGCCTGTGACAAGGAGCCGTTGGCTCCTGGTGCAGGCCTGGGCATCCTCTTCCAGGAGGCGGGGAGGGGCTGGGGCTAGGGGCAGGCTTAGCTCCCCGGGTGCTGGACACGCTAACTACTACTGTCTGTCTAGGCCCCAACTGCCAGACCAATATCAACGAGTGTGCGTCCAACCCGTGTCTGAACCAGGGCACGTGCATTGATGGCGTTGCTGGGTACAGGTGCAACTGCTTGCTGCCCTACACAGGTGCGTGTGGCTCGTGGGGGCTGGCTGTTGCCCAGGTAGTTCAGGAGGTTCTCTTCCCTGCTGGGACCTGCCTTTAGCTTCTACAGTGTTTGGGCTCTACCTGGGGCTTGGGTTCCCAGATTAGCAAACACATACATAGTGCCTGGAAGAAGGTTTTTTGTAGAAGTACCCCTCCAGATATTTTATCTGGCAAGCCCACCCTGGACAGCTGCCTTTGTGGCTCCCAGCATCCAGTCTGCTGGGGACCTCTGGGGGTTGGCTGTTCCTCCCACCCCACTGTCACCCAAGCCTGAGGGATTCCATTGACTCGGGCCCTCTTTGTGTGTGTGGGGAACAAGGAGCCCTCTGTGGGTCTGAGCAGAGGCGGGGCGTCCCCCGCCCCCCTGGTCTCCCTGGCCAAGGAAATTACAGGAAATGGCTCCTCTGTAGAAGAGATAGATAAAAGTCCACAGCCACTCAGACCTGGGGCTCCCCTGGGAATGGGCATTGGGTGCTGCCCCTGGGCAGGGTCAGCTGTGGGCCTGCCTGGGCTGGGCGGCCCGGCCGGGGGCCTACGCCTGTGGTTCCCATGACATCAAGTGGCTGGGGGCAGGGTGGTGTTTTCTTTGACCAAAGTCAGGGACCTGGCTTTTCTCTCCTGTGTCTGGGAGGACACTCCCTCAGAGGCCCGTGCACCATCAGCCTGGCGGGAGGAGCAGCCTGTGCCCAGGCACTTCCTGCTTGCTGCTTCCTGCTTCCCTTTGTACAATTGTCGGAAGCTCTGGTGGAGCTCCCCCCCCACCCGGGTCACCGTGGAAACCGATAGGAAGCAAGGCCCTGGGAAGTCGCACCAGCAGGCGGGGGGAGATAATGGGAAAGGAGGAAGATAACGCTTCCGGCTTCCCCGGGAGTCCAGCCCCCATGCCTGTAAACAGGAAACCCGCCATCGGGTTGCACAGGGAAAAAGCTGCCCAGTGTGCTCAGTTCCCACACATGCTTTTTGGGTGCTCTGTGTCATCCCAGAGGTCCTCATGCCCTGAAATGTAGGTGTGCTGGGGCTGAGGCTGGCATGGGCTTAAAACAGAGGGTCCCTGAGCCTGCCCCTCCATCACAGCCTGTGTGTGCTGGACATCTGTGTTGGGCCCGGATGAGTCCTGGGCTCTTTTTCACCCCCTGGACGAGAGGGGGCTGGTGGGGCCAGGCTGGTGTGAAGTCCCCCAGGCTATGGCCCGCTGCCCACAGGGGAACAAGGGGCTGGCAGCAGAGGGAGGCCCTTGTCTGGTTTGTTTTCAGTGTCTCCATCTGTGTTCCGCTTACTCATCCCTTGGGCCAAGGTGCTGGCTCTGCCTGGAGCCTACATAGGGTCCGAGTGCATGTGAAAATAGTCAGGGACAGCAGCAATGGCCGGGATGGCTTTTACTTGGGAGCTCCCTTGGGTGAGACTCCCTGGGTCTCACCATGTGTCTCTCTCCCCCGTAGGAGCCACCTGTGAGGCAGTCTTGGCCCCGTGTGCTCCCAGCCCCTGCAGAAACAGTGGGGAGTGCAGGGAATCTGAGGACTTTGAGAGCTTCTCCTGCATCTGCCCCACTGGCTGGCAAGGTGAGGCCAGCCTGGTCCTGGGAGGCACGGGCATGGGAGGGCAGAACAGGCAGGAAGGAGTGAGCTCCATGCCTTGGGAGGTGAGCAAGTGAGTGGTGAGGTACCATTTGTCAGGAAATTCCTAGAATCAGGACTAGACCTTAAGGGTCCGCTTTGCACCCTTCACACTCAGCATCTGTAACCTTCTTGGCTCCAGATTAGGGGACAGAGGGTGGTCCTGGGGCCAAGGAGGCTGGTTCCTAGGGGTCCAGGGAGAGACATGGTGGGTGCACAGCCAGCCTGGGCTTAAGCCCAGAAGGTGGAGGCTGCAGGTGCCTGAGCGGCCCCTCCCCCCGCAGGACAGACCTGTGAGATCGACGTCAATGAGTGTGTGAAGAGCCCGTGCCAGCATGGCGCATCCTGCCAGAACACCAACGGCAGCTACCGCTGCCATTGCCAGGCAGGCTACACTGGACCCCACTGCGAGGCTGACCTCGACGACTGCCAGCCCAGTGAGTGGCTGGTGGCTCCGGCACCTCAGATCTATCAGGCCTCTGCTTTCCGGGTGGGCACCAAGCAGGGTCCATGTGGGGAGTGCCCAGAGAGGCCAAACAAACCCTCAGTGTGGTCCCCTCAAGAGTGGCCAAAAGAGAGCCCAGGCAGGTGTTGGGGGCAGGCTGTTGGAGGGGCTGCCACCTTCTATAGCTGGCCAAGCTGGGTGTCAGGGCAGTGGCATCCTCACTTCTCCCACAGCTCTGTGTGAGCCAGACGGGGTGCGGTGTTACCCGGCCCCTGCTCCCGGTCGGTTTTCCATTGAGGTGCAGAACCCTCAGGCCTCCCAGCCCTGGTTCACAGAAAGCTGAAGTTGGGGGAGACTAAGGGTCTTGCCCGGCATTGCCCAGTGTGCAGGGTCAAGAACTGCCACTTGACCCTTGATTGGGCTGTTGGGCTGTGAAGCCTGCAAAATCATCCCCCGCCATAGGGCTGGGAGCATGTGGGGAGTGCAGACCCCAGGCATGAGAGAAGGCATGATGTGTCCTGAAGCCAACAGGGTGCCCCAGCAGGGCACCGTCACCAGGGTAGCTTACGGGCAGCACCAAGGCCCAGCCATACATCCTTCCAGCCTTGTTCCCTAGCAGCGTGGGTTGGTGCCCACCCACTCAGGCCCACCCTCTCGTCCCCTCCCAGACCCATGTCACAACGGTGGCTCCTGTACAGACGGTGTCAACACGGCCTTCTGCGACTGCCTGCCTGGCTTCCAGGGCGCCTTCTGTGAGGAGGACATCAACGAGTGTGCCAGCAACCCCTGCCGCAACGGTGCCAACTGCACGGACTGTGTGGACAGCTACACGTGCACCTGCCCCACAGGCTTCAGCGGGATCCACTGTGAGAACAACACGCCTGACTGCACAGAGAGGTGTGTGGGGGGGTCGTGGTGGAGCCCAGCTTTGGGCAGAGACGAAGAGGGAGGGAGAGAAACGGGCTGTAGGAACCGCACAGTGTGTGGCAACCTGGCATAGCAAGCAGGTGTCCGCCCAGGCCAGTAGGCTTTGAGCACTGGTTGAGTTGAGTCCAAGTGTGGTTCACTGTCTCGCAGCATCTGTTCTAAAAGGGCCATTGTGACCTCCTGTGACTAGAACCAGGAACCTGGGTAGTTGATCCTGAAGAACTGGTGTGCCTGTTTTTGTCAGACAACAAGATCTTTGTAGCCCGTATTATTTCCCTTTTTGCATTGGTTGCCGGAAAGCTTGGTGATAAATGTCAGTTTCATCCCTGGTTTCTGATGTAATTATCTCCCACATTACATGTAGAGTTCTGGTTTCTCCCTCACTTTGCTTTAACCACCGTTCCCTGTTTGTGTTGTAAAGCCCCTGTTAGCATGAGTTATAAAGAAGGTAGAGAAGGGAGGTGTGATGCGGCCTGAGGTCCCTGGGCTCGCACTGGCCTCCTGGCTGGCCGGCCCTTTGGCCTGGGTTGAAGGGGAGATGCTGGCATGGAGGAGCCTGCCGAGGCAGGGATGCACCTGCCCCTCTGATCTCTCCCCTGCTGCCCGCCTGCATCCAGCTCCTGCTTCAATGGTGGCACCTGTGTGGATGGCATCAACTCTTTCACCTGCCTGTGTCCATCTGGCTTCACGGGCAGCTACTGCCAGCATGACATCAATGAGTGTGACTCCCGGCCCTGCCTGCATGGAGGCACCTGCCAGGACAGCTGTGGCACTTACAAGTGCACCTGCCCCCAGGGCTACACTGGACTCAACTGCCAGGTGAGGGGGCTGCAGAGGTGCCTGGCAGGAGGTGGCTAGGGCAGTGCCTGCTGTGGGGGTTTGTAGCAGCCACTCACCAGGTCCCCACATCTATTCCTGAATGCAGGGAGGGCAGAGGGCTGGCTCAGGTGGGTCAGTTCCTGTTAGTGGTTCATGGAGCTAGGTAGCTGGGGGGAGGTGGCTATTGTCAATACTCTATAGAAAGGAGGCACAGGCGTTGCATAGTTTTTTCTACTGATGATTTCCATGTACAGAAACAACATTAAAAGCTTTAAAAAGTTTATTTCTGAATAAAGACGTTCGTTTGAAGAAAGGGCACAGTCTAGCTCTGTTGGGAGTCCTGAGAGGGCCTCCAAACCCAGGCTGCTTCTGGTATAGGAGGGACAGGGAGAGAGTCCCTGGGCCTGTTTCTACTTCTGTAGAGTGGGGTCACAGCCCACCTTGGGTGTGAGGTTCTCTGGCAGATCTGTGTCTTGAGCTGTGAGTGGGAACTGGCCAGTAGGGTGGCATGCCCTCTGACCCCTGCCTGTCCCCAGAACCTCGTGCGCTGGTGTGACTCCTCGCCCTGCAAGAATGGCGGCAAATGTTGGCAGACCCACACCTCGTACCGCTGCGAGTGCCCCAGTGGCTGGACTGGCCTTTACTGCGATGTGCCCAGCGTTTCTTGCGAGGTGGCTGCACGGCAGCGAGGTAACCAGCTGTGCCTGCCTGCCCTCGTTTGGCCCTGCCAGGCCCACCTGGTGCCCACTGCATCTTCCCTCTGACCCCACACTGTAGGTGTTGACATTGCCCACCTATGCCAGCATGGAGGCCTCTGTGTGAACGAGGGCAACACACATCACTGCCGCTGCCAGGCAGGGTACACAGGCAGCTACTGCGAGGACCTGGTAGACGAGTGCCTGCCCAGCCCCTGCCAGAATGGGGCTACCTGTACAGACTACCTGGGTGGCTACTCCTGCAAGGTGGGGGCCTGTCCCGGGGTGGGAGGGGAGGCGTGTGGCATGAGTGTCACTGCGCACCAGGCTGGGGACTAGGAACTGGCATGGCAGAGAGGACTAAACCCTCTGTACCTTTCAGTCCCATAAGGGAGGGCCAGGGCAATCAGGGAGGACTTCCTGGAGGAAGCAGCAAATGGGGAGCCCAAAAGAGGGAGAAAGGCTAAGAAGAGGGATGGAATTTCCTTTTCCCTGGATTGCATCTGGGCTGGGCTGATACCCATGCTGGGGCCCTCACCTTGGTCTTATGGGGCAGGGTCCAGATTCTCCTACCGACACCCCAGGTGGTGACTCACCTCACTGAGGTCCTGGCCAGGGTCTACAGTGTTGGGGTCTTCCTCCAGGTCTGCTAGGTGTGAGGGACCTCAGGCTTCACTGGACACAAGGGCAGTTCGTGTGGCCCTGCCAGCCTGTCTGGTTGGGGGTGGGAGTGGAGTATTATGTTCTGGCCCCTCATGAGCCACGGCCCTGCCTCTCACTCTGTCCCTGTGCAGTGTGTGGCTGGCTACCACGGGGTGAACTGCTCTGAGGAGGTCAACGAGTGTCTGTCACACCCCTGCCAGAATGGGGGCACTTGCCTCGACCTCATCAACACCTACAAGTGCTCCTGCCCCCGGGGCACACAGGGTAAGGACTGCCATGTGGACGGCTGGGGTCCAGGGGCCTAGGGAAGTGGGCAAGTCAGGTGCCCTGTGACCAGCAGAAGCACCCAGAACCTGCCAGAAATTCCATTTTGCTTTGTGGGGCCAGGAACAGAGGCCTTGCTAGCAGGGAAGGCCCCAGAGAGGGGTCCTGGCGGGAAGTGTGGCTCAGTGGGCCTGCCCTGGGCATCTGCATGTCCTAGTCCTTGCTGCTTTGGGGCCTGGATGTGCACGGGTCCCTGATGCCGCCTGGGCCCTGCAGGGGTACACTGTGAGATCAATGTGGACGACTGCAGCCCCCCTGTTGACCCCGTCTCACGGAGCCCTAAGTGCTTCAACAACGGCACCTGTGTGGACCAGGTGGGCGGCTATAGCTGCACCTGCCCTCCAGGCTTCGTGGGTGAGCGCTGCGAGGGAGATGTCAATGAGTGCTTATCCAACCCTTGTGATGCCCGCGGCACCCAGAACTGCGTGCAGCGTGTCAACGACTTCCACTGCGAGTGCCGTGCCGGCCACACTGGTGGGTGCAGTGGGCAGCCGGGTGGCCGGGTGTTGGGAAGGTGGATGGGCGTGGTTGCAGGGCAACTGCTTCACTGCCCTGTGTTTCCCACAGGGCGCCGCTGCGAGTCGGTCATCAATGGCTGCAGAGGCAAGCCCTGCCAGAATGGGGGCACCTGCGCGGTGGCTTCCAACACCGCCCGCGGGTTCATCTGCAGATGCCCTGCGGTAGGTGCCATGGCGGGCAGGGGCGGGAGGTGCAGTGTGGGCCCAAAAGTGTCCGGCCCCACGCCCTCCCTTGGTGTAGCTTAGCCCTGGGTTCTGGGGCCCTTAGGCGGAGGCTAGGATTGAGCCTCTGGGCCTTCATCTTCATCATTCCTCTGAGGCTCTTTTTATAGTTTTAGTACATTTTTTATAATAGTTTTACAAAAAAAGTCAACAGAAACATACCCTTGCCCAGTTCCCTGCCTTGACATATGCTAAGCATTCATTGACACTTGGTGAGGCAGCTTTGATGCACTGTAAGCAACTTCAGCCTTCACTGTGCCCACATTCCTCACCCTTGGCCTCGTAATTCTGTGAGTTTAGGCTGATGACTGATGACACGATGTCTCGCTGTTCCCTGGTCCCCAGTGCTCCACTTCTTTGTCTCCAATTTCTGAACCCCTGGGACCCCCTGACCCCTTTGCCATCAGGAGACAGTTCTTTTTTAGGGATTTTTCTGCTAGAGGAAAGGGGCTCGGGGTGCCAGCCCACCCTGACTGCCTGCCCTACCTTCCCTCCCTTGCAGGGCTTCGAGGGTGCCACGTGTGAGAACGATGCACGTGCCTGTGGCGGCCTGCGCTGCCTGCATGGCGGCACATGCATCTCGGGCCCGAGGAGCCCCACCTGCCTGTGTCTGGGCCCCTTCACTGGCCCTGAGTGCCAGTTCCCGGCCAGCAGTCCCTGCCTGAATGGCAACCCCTGCTACAACCAGGGCAGCTGCGAGCCCATCCCCGAGAGCCCCTTCTACCGCTGCCTGTGCCCTGCCAAGTTCAACGGGCTCTTGTGTCACATCCTGGACTACAGCTTCGGGGGTGGCGCTGGGCGTGACATCCCCCCACCACAGATCGAGGAGGCCTGCAAGCTCCCTGAATGCCAGGAGGATGCCGGTGACAAGGTCTGCAACCCGCAATGCAACAACCACGCATGCGGCTGGGACGGCGGCGACTGCTCCCTTAACTTCAACGACCCCTGGAAGAACTGCACGCAGTCGCTGCAATGCTGGCTGTACTTCAGTGATGGCCGCTGCGACCCCCAGTGCAACTCGGCCGGCTGCCTCTTTGATGGCTTCGACTGCCAGCGTGCAGAGGGCCAGTGCAAGTAAGGGCACTATCCCCTCAGGCCAGAGGAGGGTCCTGAGCTGGGGCCAACGGGGGCAGGGTGTCCCCACGACCCCTGGGGCAGCTTCTGGGCCCCCATAGGGGCCTGGCGGGTCTCAGCATGCTCTGCCTCCGCAGCCCCCTGTACGACCAATACTGCAAGGACCATTTCAGCGACGGGCACTGCGACCAGGGTTGCAACAGCGCTGAGTGCGAGTGGGACGGGCTGGACTGCGCGGAGCATGTGCCCGAGCGCCTAGCGGCTGGCACGCTGGTCGTGGTGGTGCTCACGCCGCCAGAGCAGCTGCGTAACAACTCTCTGCATTTCCTGCGGGAGCTCAGCCGAGTGCTGCACACCAACGTGGTCTTCAAGCGGGACGCCCATGGCCGGCTCATGATCTTCCCCTACTATGGCCGTGAGGAGGAACTGCGCAAGCACCCCGTAAAGCGTGCGGCCGGGGGCTGGGCCGCCCCCAGCACCCTACTTGGCCAGGCGACTGCCTCACTGTTCCCCGGAGGTGGGGGTGTGCGCCGGCGCAGGGAGCTGGACCCCATGGACATCCGCGGGTAAGTGATGGTGTCTTCCCTGACTCATGCGGCCGCCCTGGGGTGGGCCGGACTCTGCACTGTATAGTAAAGGACCCCAGGGCTGTAGGGGTGAGGAAGGGGGTGGGGCTCTGCCAGCTCTGTGCCATGCAGCACCCCCCCCCATCTTCCCCAGTGTGTGGAGGCTTCACTCCATCACCCAGTGGGCAGCTTAGAGCATCTGCTGGGTGCTGGGGAATGAGCTAGTAAAGCCCAGCCCTTCTGGGCTCCCGCGGGCTGGCAGATCCACCCTGGATGAGAAGAACCCGACTCAGCAACCATATCTGCCTTGTTTGGGCTCGAGAGGAAGCCAGTCAGGGGTCCTGGGGAGGGCACCTAGCTGGACCTTGGGGCCTGAGTGAGGGCAGAGTTGGGAGGGGTGTCCCTAGGGTCAGGGGACCACAGGCAGAAGGAGCTCACATGTGCAGCTGTCCCACAAGACTCCACCACTCCCACGTAAGCCACGTGGCCAGGTTGGTTGTACCCGTGGTGTGCCCTGACCTGGCTTGCCAGTCAACAATCTTGCTGGCTTAGGACAGCCCTGCAGTCGGGAGTGTGTCATTGTGCCAGGGCTGGGTTTGGATCCTGCTCACAAGGAGGCTGGGCCCTTGAAGCAGGTGTCCTGGCTGGTGGGAGAACCCCCAGTCTCTGGGCCTGTCATGGTGTGTCCCGCCCCCAACATGTCAGCACTTCTGCCAGCTTGGGGACAGCTCCTGGGAGAGAACAGGGCTCCCGAGGACATTCTCTGTCCTTCTGGAAAAGGTGTGTTCCTGACACCTAGGTGTGTCGGAGAGGGTAGGGGGCTGGGAGAGCACTCTGAAAGAGTCTGTGATGAGCATCAGGTTTCACTGGCTGGGCTGCAGGGGATTGTCCCCCTACAGGTAGGTGTCATCAGACCCACCTCCCCCCCTCCTGACCCCATCGGGGGCTAGAGGTGGTCCCTGGCAGGTGGGAGAAGAAGGCTGCTGGTCCCAGCCTAGCCTGTGTGTCCTAGGTCCATTGTCTACCTGGAGATTGACAACCGGCAGTGTGTCCAGTCCTCCTCGCAGTGTTTCCAGAGTGCCACCGATGTGGCTGCGTTCCTGGGGGCGCTCGCCTCGCTGGGCAGCCTCAACATCCCCTATAAGATCGAGGCCGTGCAGAGTGAGTGTGGCTCCCACCAGCTCCCCCAGCCCTGCGACCCAGTGTACCTGCCAGGGGCTGAATCCCTCTGTTCCCCCAAATTGTTTTGGGTTTGAGTGCCAGTTGCCACCCATGGGTGTGTTTCTTGCTGTCCAGAGCTCAGGTGTAGCCTCCCCAGCTGTGGGCAGCTGCTGGAGGGAAACCCAGAGGATGAGCACACTTGCCAGAAAGTGGGAGCTTTTTCCTCTGCCCACCTCTTCCCCCTGGTTTTTCTTTGTTGGGTATTATTTCAAAATCATTACAGCTTTTTTTTTTTTTTAAAGAAAAAAGAGAGAGAGAAGAATTGATCGGTGTCATGTGAAGTGTTGAAGTTTGTGTCTTGAAAATCCCCCTAAATCCTTTGTCTTAACAGCTCAATGCGAGTGCAGTGATTTGAAGTTGGCTAATCCTTCTCCCTTAAAGGAGAAAAAAGTAAAAGCCGTCTCCAGATAGCTGGCTGGTGCAGGAGAGAATTTAGCAATAGTTTGCAATTCTGATTAATCGCGTAGAAAATGACCTTATTTTGGGGGGCGGGATGGAGGAGAGTGGGTGAGCCGTTGCCCGACCACAGAGCCTGTCCGCTGCCCCCTGGCCACCGGTCTGCTATATAACCACTGCCTGATGTCTGGGCTCTGGCCCCTGGCCCTTGTGCCCGCAGGTGAGACCGTGGAGCCGCCGGCGCCCGCGCAGCTGCATTTGATGTACGTAGTGGCGGCCGCCTTTGTGCTCCTCTTCTTCGTGGGTTGTGGGGTACTGCTGTCCCGGAAGCGGCGACGGCAGCATGGCCAGCTCTGGTTCCCTGAGGGCTTCAAGGTGTCTGAGGCCAGCAAGAAGAAGCGGCGAGAGCCCCTGGGCGAGGACTCTGTGGGCTTGAAGTGAGTGGAAGCTGCCTCCTGCCAGGCACCCTCCCTGGGGGTCCTCCCCTTCCTGGCCCAGGGCCTGGCACCTGCACCCTGCTCAGCCGGGCTTCCCACCCTTCCTCCCCAGGCCCCTGAAGAACACCTCCGACAGGGCCCTCATGGATGACAACCAGAACGAGTGGGGAGATGAGGACCTGGAGACGAGGAAGTTCCGGGTGAGTCCTATGGCCCCAGACCTCAGGGTGCCTGCTGCGGCCCAAGCTGACGTACCTCTCTGCCCCACTTAGTTCGAGGAGCCAGTGGCTCTCCCTGAGCTGGATGACCAGACAGACCACCGGCAGTGGACTCAGCAGCACCTGGATGCGGCCGACCTGCGTGTGTCTGCCATGGCCCCCACACCGCCCCAGGGCGAGGCCCACACGGACTGCATGGACGTGAACGTCCGCGGGCCGGGTATGGGCACCACCTGCCACCGCCCTTCATGGCTGGGGGTCTCCATTGGGGGCACAGGTGTCTAGCAGCCTGGGCTGCTCTGACCAGACCCTAAAGGCCAGGGGGCAGGTGCTCAGTCCTCGGGGTTGTCCCTGCTCAGATGACGGGGAGACCCCCAATAGCCCACCTTTTTTCCACCCTCCCCTGGGGCTACACTCAGGCTCTGTCTGCCCTGTAAATGATTGTTGTCTCCTGAAATGCTGCTTTGGGGCAGCTGAAGTGCGGATTTTCTAATGTCGTGTTTCTCGCCTTGCCTCTCTCTTGGGTGGGATTTGGCATAGAAACTTGGCAGGACAGGAAGCAAAGCCATTGAGGTCTCATTGCTGTCCAGTAAGTTGGCAGCTGGGCTTGGCTATTTCCCTTGAGAAGTTCCTGGGGGCTTCAGTGGCCCTCTGTGGGCGGCTCTGTGCAGGAGCCCCTGTGTACTGGGTGGCAGCCCACACAGTGTCCCCTTGAGCTCAGGCTGTCCTCCTGACTGAGCCCCACCTGCCCTGCCCACAGATGGCTTCACGCCACTCATGATCGCCTCCTGCAGTGGGGGCGGCCTGGAGACGGGCAACAGCGAGGAGGAGGAGGATGCACCGGCTGTCATCTCGGACTTCATCTACCAGGGGGCCAGTCTACACAACCAGACTGACCGCACCGGCGAGACTGCCTTGCACCTGGCCGCCCGCTACTCACGCTCCGATGCTGCCAAGCGCCTACTGGAGGCCAGCGCCGACGCCAACATCCAGGACAACATGGGGCGTACCCCACTGCACGCTGCCGTGTCTGCGGATGCACAGGGTGTTTTCCAGGTAGGTGGCGCTTGCCTGTGCCTGTCCACAGTGTCCCGGCCACCTGACCTCCTTAATGCCACTAGCTAGTCTTGGGGCAGAAACTGGGCTTACTTAGCCTTAGGGACCTGACCTCAAGCACAGCTGAGGCAGATGCAGCTGGGGCCTTTGAAGGAGGGGTGCACTGAGTGGGTGTCAGGCCCACCTGGTCTCACTGAAGCCAGGCTGGGAGATTCCCCACTCCTACCCATAACAGGCTTGGGGTGCCCCAGTTCCACTGCTCAGCCCCTGGCTCCCTAGCCCTCCCTCTCAGCCTGGCCTCTGGCATAGCCTGTGGTGGTGAGAAGGAGGCTTACAGGCTGCTACTTGCTGCCTGTAAATCTGGGGTTCTGGTCTGCAGGGAGCTCGTGTCAAGGGTGGATTTATCCATCTGGATTCTGGGTCTCCAGGGCTCGTCTAGCAGTCGCCACACTGCAGGTCCCACAGTCTAGGAAGCCACAGGCAGGTGCAGGTGCTACACAGACCCGGGGTCAGCCCCAAATTTAAGTTTAATAGTTTCATACCTCTAGTGATATGTTGGCATCCTGCAGAAATAAGAAATTGAGATTAGCCACAAAGGGAAAGTCAAAAGTAGCCCCCAGGGGCAGGCCCTGTGTGTGTGTGCCTAGGACCTCTCTGGACAGCCTTTCCCACACAACTAAGACTTGAATTCCCATGTGTTCTGCAAGTATCTGGCCAACACCACACATGGGTTGGTGCTGTCTGTTTTCAGCCACCAGCAGAGACCACCTCCCCACCAGACTGTGTAATGCCTGGACCCCTCTGTTCTAGAGTAGTCATGGAAGCCAGAACCACACTGATGATCAGGTGAGGCCACACATGGTCCCAAGGGGCTGGTCTGTGAGCAGCGTGGCCTCTTGCAGGTGTGGCACATCGTTTCCCAGGCTGGCAGGTCTCAGAAGGAGTCTCGTCTGTGTCAGGGAGGCAGTGGAGCTCACAGTTTGTGTATTGGTTCTGGGCCAGATGCATTGGGTTCACATGTGCCAAGCTTGCGTCCCTCCCTATCTCCCAGATCCTGATCAGGAACCGGGCAACAGACCTGGATGCGCGCATGCATGATGGCACAACACCGCTGATCCTGGCCGCCCGCCTGGCCGTGGAGGGCATGCTGGAAGACCTCATCAACTCACACGCCGACGTCAATGCCGTGGATGACCTGGGTGAGCCATGAGGCTGCCCAGCCTGCAGGGCGGGGAGGATTGCGGCTGCTGTGTGGTCTGCCCTGGACCCACCTTGTCTGTTTCCCCCCATGCAGGCAAGTCAGCACTGCACTGGGCTGCCGCTGTGAACAATGTGGACGCTGCCATTGTGCTCCTGAAGAATGGGGCCAACAAGGACATGCAGAACAACAAGGTGAGCCCAGAGCCCCTTGACAAGGGGCTTCACTTAGCGCTTTACCCCCTCTTGTTTACAGAGGCTCCCACACGCAGGGCTGCCTGCTGGGGTCACAGTGTATGGAGTGGGAGCTGAGCCCTTTCTTCACTCCTGCCCATCCCCTTGTATTGAGCCAGGGTCTGTCCTGCCTGGGTGAGGGGACGTAGGAGGTGTTGGGCACCAGGTGTCCATAGGGGGCCTGTGACCTGATGGGGAAGAAGGGTAGGAAGGAGGGAAACCGAGCCCCAGGACTCCAGAGCAGCTGGCCACAGGGTATCCAGGTGGCAGGAGACTTCTCAGTCCCTGGTCCATGGTCAGTATTCTCATGTGTGTGTTGCACCTGTATCACAGAGAGACTGGGAAAGGAGTGTGGACCCCGGGTAGCTCAGTGCTATCTGGTCAGGGAGCTTCCTCCCTATCATGATGCAGTTCGGGGACCCCCATGTCCCTAGAATTGCTGTAGTGATTTTTGGTCTATGCATTTTCTGTTTGTTTTTGTTTTGAGACAGAGTCTCACTTTGTCACCCTGGGTAGAATGCCGTGATGTCATAGCTCACAGCAACCTCAAACTCTTGGGGTCAAGTGATTCTCTTGCCTCAGCCTCCCGATTAGCTGGGACTCCGGGCACCTGCCACAATGCCTGGGTATTTTTGGAGACAGAGTCTCATTCATGCTCAGGCTGGTCTTGAACTCCTGAACTCCAACTATCTGCCCACCTCAGCTTCCCAAAGTGCTAGGATTATAGGTGTGAGCTGCCGTGGTCTGTGCATTTTCGTGGGGAGAGGGAAGAGGGCCACAGTTTGTCAGGTTTTCAGTAGGGCATGTTAACATCCTCTCCTCTTAAAGTAGCCACATTTGGAATAGGGAATCTCACAGACCTCCCTGAGAGGGTCTTAGGAGATGCGTGTAAGGTTTTAACGTTTTTTTAAAAGTGGACTGGCCAGGCACAGTGGCTCATGCCTGTAATCCTAGCACTCTGGGAGGCTGAGATGGGTGGATTGCCTTGAGCTTACAAGTTGGAGACAGCCTGAGCAAGAGTGAGACCCTGTCTCTAAAAGTGAACCAAGCCATGCATTCCAGGATGCTGGGGTGGAGTCACCATCAGCTTCCAGACCATGAGCCTCTGGTAACAAAGCACTCGGACCAGCCCCAGGGTCCCCCTTACCTGCCCATGCCTGTGTCCCCTAGGAGGAGACTCCTCTGTTCCTGGCTGCCCGAGAGGGCAGCTACGAGACCGCCAAGGTCCTTCTGGACCATTTTGCCAATCGAGACATCACCGACCACATGGACCGCCTACCGCGGGATATTGCGCAGGAGCGGATGCACCATGACATCGTGCGGCTGCTGGATGAGCACAACCTGGTGCGCAGCCCCCCGCTGCATGGCGCCGGCCTGGGGCCCGCCCCAACCCTCTCACCCCCGCTGTGCTCACCCAATGGCTACCTGGGCAACCTCAAGCCCTCCATGCAGGGCAAGAAGGCCCGGAAGCCCAGCACCAAAGGTCTGGTCTGTGGTGGCAAAGAGGCCAAGGACCTCAAGGCACGGAGGAAGAAGTCTCAGGACGGCAAGGGCTGCCTGCTGGACAGCTCCAGCATGCTGTCACCTGTGGACTCCCTGGAGTCACCCCATGGCTACTTGTCAGATGTGGCCTCACCGCCCCTCCTGCCCTCTCCGTTCCAGCAGTCTCCATCCATGCCTCTCAACCACCTGCCTGGCATGCCAGACACCCACTTGGGTGTTGGCCACCTGAACGTGGCAGCCAAGCCAGAGATGGCAGCTCTAGGTACAGGCGGCCGGCTGGCCTTTGAGGCTGGCCCCCCACGCCTCTCACACCTGCCTGTGGCCTCTGGTACCAGCTCGATCCTGGGCTCCGCCAACAGTGGAGGGGCCATGAATTTCAGTGTGGGTGGGGCTGCCAGCTTGAATGGCCAGTGCGAGTGGCTGTCCAGGCTGCAGAACGGCATGGTGCCCAGCCAGTACAACCCACTGCGAGGGAGTGTGGCGCCCAGCACCCTAAGCGCACAGGGCCCCAGCCTCCAGCACAGCCTGATGGGCCCACTGCCCAGCGGCCTGGCCGCCAACACCCTGACCCAGATGATGAGCTACCAGGGTCTGCCCAGCACGCGGCTGGCCACCCAGCCCCACCTGGGGCAGACCCCACAAGTGCAGCAGCAGAACTTACAGATGCAGCAGCAGAACCTGCAACCGCCAAACATCCAGCAGCAGCAGCAGAACCTGCAGCCACATCTTGGGGTGGGCTCAGCGGCCGGCAGCCACCTGGGCCGGAGCTTCCTGGGTGGGGAGCCGAGCCAGGCAGACGTGCAGTCACTGGGCCCTGGCAGCCTGACAGTGCACACTGTCCTGCCCCCGGAGGGCCTGGCCCCACCCACTTCACTGCCGTCCTCCCTGGCCCCGCCCATGACCACAGCGCAGTTTCTGACGCCCCCCTCACAGCATAGCTATTCCTCCTCGCCCGTGGACAACACCCCCAGCCACCAGCTGCAGGTGCCTGAGCACCCTTTCCTCACTCCGTCCCCTGAGTCCCCTGACCAGTGGTCCAGCTCATCCCCGCATTCCAACGTCTCCGACTGGTCTGAGGGTGTTTCTAGCCCACCCACCAGCATGCAGTCCCAGGTCGCCCACATTCCGGAGGCCTTCAAGTAGACAGCTGCAGGTGCGACCAGCTCCCTTTCCCAAGCCCTGCTGGGCGTCTCTATGTGCTCTGTGGACACCGGAGCCAGTCTAAGGAGCCTTTTTAAGAAAACATGTTTTTATACAAAATAAGAGAACAAGAATTAAAAAAAAATTTTTTTAGTATTTATTTATGTACTTTTATTTTACACAGAAACACTGCCTTTTTATTTATATGTACTGTTTTGTATGGCTCCAAGAAAATAAACTAGTTCTTATGATTTTTCTAGTTAGTATAAAGATTCTTATGTGTTTGTAAAATATAAACAAAGATTCATGATTTATAAATGCCATTTATTTATTACTTACTTTCATAATCCAAAAAGAAATGATGTTGGAGAAGGGAGGTTTGAATAAGCATCAGCCAAAAAGCTCCAGGGTGCCCAGCCTGCTGCCCTCCCTCCCCAGCGCCTACCTCCCCCATGCCGGCCCAGCACCTCCCCCAGTGTCACCTGTGTTCTTCGTGAAGACACCTCCAGAGACAGACAAAAGGGGCAGATCCACACATTAGGCCTGTGGATTAACTGGCATAAAGTAGGAAACTTAAGTAAAATGATGGTGTTCAGATATTTTGGTGTTTTTCTGATCATGTGTTTCAAGCATGCTTTTTAAAATGTGTTCTTGGGGTACACCCAGAGTTCATTCCATGGTACCAGTCATGAATCTTTGTTTTGGGTTCTCTATTACGTAGTTACCCCTTGTCCTCTAAGTATCATGTATATGAACAGCTCAGACGTGGATCCTCAGGACGCCCGCAGGGGGATCCTACCCTTTGCTCGGGAAAGACTCTGCCTAGGCCAGCCCTGCTGGAGGCCACAGCATGCCAGCCTGAAGGGCATCCTGCAGGTTCAGCAGAGCCTGGGTCCAGACTCACGGGCCCAACTACTCAGGGCTCCTGTTTCTCTAGGAGACGTGGCAGAGCGACTTACGTGGAGGTTCTAGAAAGTCATAGGCTGTGTCCTTAGTTCTTCCAGTGGCTGCGGTCAGAGAGGCAGGGAGCCTGCTCTCAAGCACCCTGCTTATGTGGGGGTGTGTGCTGGGAGGGGGAGCAGACCCTTGTGATGTCAAGTATAAGCCTGTGGCAGAATAAATGTCTGTAAATAAATTTTTAACAGTGGATTTTGTTTAAAAAATCTAAATGAACGAGTCTGTCATGTGTTGTGTGATGAGGGGTGTCAGAAGGTGGCTCAGCTCTGCGCCACCCAGGAGCACCTGCCACCTCAGGGCAGCTTCTCCTGGTTTTGGGGGGGGGGGGTCAGCGACATCATCCCTAGTGGGTGTGACCAGACACACAGGTGTTGAGTCTTACTATGTTTTATAAAATAGAGTGTAGTTTACAGAAAAAGGAATTTTTTTTAAAAAGTTAGCTACATGCAAAACTAGATAATGAAAATGATGTATTTTCATCTTTTTTGTTAACTGATTTGCAATAAAAATGATGCAGATGGTCATTTAGATTTTGCTAAGGCTGTTGCCTTTGGCTCACTTTCTAGAAGGGAAGGAGGGAAGACTGTTTTGCTCAGAGGTACCCAGGTCTTTGGGACCTTTCTGAAGGGAGAGTGATGGAGAGGCTGCCTGGTCCTGTCCCACAATGTCAGGGACCACACTGTCCCAAGTCCCATGAGTATCTGCAGCCTGCCTGGGCCAGACCCTGTGAATGGAAATGGGGACATGGCAATGGGGAGAAGGGAGTTTATGGCCTTATCTGAAGTGACTTTGATTCTGGGGTGACAGCTCAAGATACCTGGGAATAAGTCTGCCCTCCCAGCAGCTCAGGGCTCTTCTGTCCCTCTTGGCCACATGCAGCCTGGAGGTGGCCTGCAGGGAGCCCTGCAGCAGGCTAGGTGGGCATAGGCAGGGGCCTTACCACAGTGGCCTAGCCCCCTGTGGGGCTGGAGACTAGTTAGGAACTCAGCCCCCTAGTGTGAGGGAAAGGGAGCCTCAGAAGCCTCTGATAGGACAGCCCAGGGCATGGGGGAGTAAGTCTGGAAGCTTTCATGAACCAAAGGGGGCACCTGGCTGAGCAGGGCATAGTAGTGTGGCCCTATGGCCCGGACAGCAGGAACCGCCAGCCTGACAGCTGTCAGCCAAGCACAGGGGTGGGCGTCCCCCTCCACCTGGCCCTCTGCCATCAGGGCAGGCCAGCAGCTTCAAACCAGAGTGACGGGGAATCTCTGGTACCCCTTTCAACCGCATAGTGCCACCTGCCTCAGGCCTGGCCTATCCAAGGACAAATCTGAGCCCAAAATATCTCCACCGTGTGTTCCATTTCTTCTGGACACTAAGAAATGTGAGGAAGAGCCTACAGCAAGGAGGATTACGCCTGGGCTACAGCAAGCAGCCTAACTGGGCCAGTGCTGTCCAGAGAACACCCAGCACCTGAAATCCCACCCTAGGTATCTATCTAAAGGAAATGAGGACAAGAACTGCAGTACTTGCACCCCGCACTCTCCATGGCATCATTCACAACAGTTGAAAGCAAAGGTCTGCACACTGATGAGCAGGTAACTGAAATGTGGTCTGTGCACATCACAGTGGTGAAGCTCAGGTGGCCAGATGCCCTGAGTGTGTCTCCACATACTTCTGGATGAGTATAACATTTCATCCATGGGCCGAGTACAGTAGGTGGCCTTCCACACGTGGGTGGACCTTGCCCCCAAAACTGAAGGCCTGGATAGAACAAAAGAGCCAAATGTGAGGGACGGCCTGACTACTTGCGCTGGGCCATCAGCCTCTACCTGCCTTTGGACTTGGACCAAAATGTTGGCTCTTTTGGGTCTCAAGCCAGCTGGCCTTCAACTGGTGCTCACGTCAGGCCCCCTGCTTGCTGGCTGCGGAGAATGGGCTCATCGGCCCCACAACTGCCCTGCAATGATCTTTCTCTCCCCCATGGATCCTACTGCTTCCAAGTCTCTGGAGAAACCTGAGCCAGGCACTGAAGCATCATTCTGCACCAACATGCAGCACAGTGGGGGCGAGCCTTGAGATGTTACCATCAGTGAAACAAGCTAACGCAGGCATCATTCTGTTTGTGAAACATCAGTGATTAAATCCCCAGGGACAGCGGGCAGCTTGGGAGTTCCCAGGGCAGGGCCATGGGCAGTGACTGCCTAGCAGCTGTGGGGTCTTACCTGGAATGTTGGGATGTTCTGGAACTAGGGAGAGGTGGCGGCTGCACAGCACCACTAAGGCACTAAATGCCATGGAACTGGACACTTTCAAGTGGCCAATTTTATGTTCTGTGACTCCTATCTCAACACTTAAATGAAAGAAGGACCTTCAGGGCAGCGTCGGGCCCTCCATGTGGTTTGCACCTTAGATGCAGCAGGAGGTGCCCTCAAGTCTTCAGGAGAACTGCTCTGCTCCCCAAGTCAGTGGGGTCCCCAGCAGTTGGGAGGAAGCCTGCAGAGTAGCACAAGGGGCCTCTGGTATTCAAGCTTAGAGTGCAGAAGATAGCACCTGGCCACGCCCGGTCGCAAGGACTAAATGACAAAGTACACTGAGTGACTGCCCTGGAGGGGCGGCTCCTTCCAGAAGCAATGAGAGTCCAGCTTGAGCCCACCATAGTGGGTACTTTGTCCTCAAGGCCCACCTTGACCTTCCACTCCCACCCAGGCCCCTCATGGGGGAGTCACACAGCAGCCTTAAAGAAGGCCTAACACAAGCTGGTTTTCCCAGGTCCCATGCTGTTCCCTCTGCCTGGACTCCAGAGTCCCCACGGTCACCTGGCCTTTCCTTCCAGCTCTAACTGGATGATACAATTGGAGCTACCTGCTTTGTCATCCTCATCTTGGACAACTCCTGCCTGGCCACCCACAGACTCCCAGGGAGGAACAGCCCTTCCTCAGCCAACATATCCCTGGCTTGATGAATCTGTTTTGGACTCAATTGTGCACCCTCCCCCAAATTCTTGGGTTGAAAGCCTGACCCCCATGAGCTCAGAACGTGACTGTATTTGGAGACAAGGCCTTTATAGAGGTCATAAAGGTAAAATGAGGTCGTGAGGGTGGCCCTACTGCAATGGAAGTGGTGCCCTTGTGAGAAGCGGAGATCAGGGCGTGTCATCTTTAAGACAGGGAGAAGACAGCATCTGCAAGCCAAGGAGAGAGGCACAGGAGGAGGCAGCCTGCCCATGTCTTGATCTGGGGCTTCCAACCTGCAGAACTGAGAGGGACACGTTTCTGTTGAAGCCTGAAGTAGGGGGTGCTTATGGCGGCGGAGCAAACTCATACAGGATCCTGCTTATCCCAGGGCCCAACCCCCAGCGGCACCAGCTGGCAGGTCCAGACATCCAACCTGCCTCCCAGGCAGCTGTCCCTTCCCTGGGAGTGGCTCACAGTCTTCATAATAGAGACACAGCCTCCCTGCCCCACGCTTCCTTCCTCCACAATTGCTGTGTGACTGGGGGTGAGGAAGGACCAGCAGCATCCCAAAGACAATCGGGGCTGCGCACCTGATTCTAAATATTTCAGTAGCCACATCAAAGAGGTAGAAAAGACACAGGTGAAGTTTTTTTATTTTTTATTTTTGAGACAGTCTATGTCGAGCTCGGTAGAGTACCGTGATGTCACAGCTCACAGCAACCTCCAACTCTTGAGGTTAAGCAATTGTCTTGCCTCAGTCTCCCAAATAGCTGGGACTACAGGAGCCTGCCACAACACCCAGCTATTTTTTTTTTTTTTGAGACAGAGCCTCAAGCTGTCCCCCTGGGTAGAGTGCTGTGGCATCACAGCTCACAGCAACCTCCAACTCCTGGGCTCAAGCGAGTCTTCTGCCTCAGCCTCCCGAGTAGCTGGGACTACAGGCGCTCGCCACAACGCCCGGCTATTTTTTTGGTTGCAGCCGTCATTGTTGTTTTGGCAGGCCCGGGCTGGATTTGAACCCGCCACCTTGGGTGTATGTGGCTGGCGCCTTAGCCACTTGAGCCACAGGCGCCGAGCCCGCCCAGCTATTTTTGTTGTTGTTGTTGTTTAGCAGGCCCAGGCCAGGTTTGAACCCTCCAGCCCCAGTGTATGTGGCTGGCATCCCAAATCACTGAGCTACAGGCGCCAAGCCCAGTGAAGTTTGTTTTAATAATGCATCTTAGTTAATCCACTATCTCCACAGTATTAGTCACTTCACCATGTAACCAATATAAACCATTAATGAGATGTTTTACTTTTTGATGGTGTCTTTGAAAACCAGTGTGCACTTCACATTTGCAGCACAGCTCGGTTCAGACTGACCAGATTTTCAGTGGTCAGTGACCACATGAAGCTCATGGTGACCATGTTGGAGAGTGCAGGTTTAGACCACAGGAAAACGTCAAGGTGATCTCTAAGCCCCTCTGTCTCTAGTGCAGAATACAGGTTGCATTTGGTACCATTTGGCTCCACTGCTTCCTAAGTGGAGACAGCACCTTCAGGGCACAGTGCTGGAGCCCAAAGGTTAGGCCACAGGCAGGGCTGCCCAGTGCAGGGAAGAGGGGGAGTAGCCCATAGGCTACTTCCTTCATCCAGAAAGTCTCTTTCCAGAAAGCATCTGTGGAACTAGACTATGCCTAGCAGCAAGAGCTAATTCCCATGCTCCTTATCTCATTATAGCCCAGTCCCGTCCACAGACCACCCCAAGGGGCTCTGCTTGGAGGGGCAGGGCCGTTAGCACAGACTTAAAGACGGTGTGCTTCCCATGTGGCTGTGTGGGGGCTGCCCCAACGGAGATTTCTGGCGAAATGCCAATTTCTTATTCCATAAAAGTAATTTAAAACAAAATCCAAACAGCATGGTCCAGCTTGGTCACTGGTGACAGTATCCCAAAGGGTGAATGGTGAGAAGTCCATGGGCTTGGGATGCCCTGACTCTGGGAGAAACAGGGTCTTGACAGGGCTTGTGTGGGGCAGGGTCTCAGAGGTGGTACAGGGGTTCCAGGATGGGCCCATTCTTGATCTACAGACGGAGGCACAGGCCAGATGGACACTTTGGGAAATGCTGTTTCTTGCACCTGAGCTGGTAGCACACCAGTCTGTGCGAAGTGATTCCTGATTTTTGTTGTTGGTAGCTGGAGTTCTCTGCACCTCAGTGTCCTTGTGAGTGAAGTGGGAATCTTTCAGACTGGGCAGAGCCCCTACACATGTTCAGATGGGGAAACCTAAGCTCAAAAG